AGAAAAAATTAAAACAAAAAAAAAAATGGGGGGGGGGGGGAGAAAAGGAAAGGAGGATAAAGGGATTTCAAAAAAAACTAAAATCAGATACATTTTAAACATTTATTTGTTGCACAAGTTTTTTTTTTATATGTGATGTTAAATCCTTATTTATTATGAAAATATTTACGGGATGTAATGTAAATAACAATGTCGAGACATAATAAAGAGATAAAAGTACACAAATTTAGTAGGCTTTTTTTAGGACAGAAAAAGTAATTAATTTAAAGATATTTCGATATACATTCATATTTACAAATTAATTATATATAAATAAATAATTTCTGTTTGGTTAGATACTTACGAAGTTATGTAAAAGATTTTTTTTAACAAAACATGATAAAATTAAAATATTCAAAGTTACGATTTTTGAACATAATAAAGACAGGATAAGAGAAAAATTAACACAAGTTTCACGAACGTTTCAGATTGAAGTGATTGCAAGAGAAACACGTACACTGCAAAAGTGAGGTTAGGACGTGTGCTTCTGTACCAGCAAGCTGTATACAATGTTTGACGATATTATGGCGATTTGTGCTGCGGTTTAAAAAGAAACTGGCGACACGCTATAGATTATTCAGTGAAGTGATCAGCAGTATAATGTTGTGGGAATGAATAATAAATTGTTTGTTTTCTTAAGTTTATTCGATTCTATGCTCGGTGTGATAATAATATACGCAATAAAAAACGCAACGAATTAATTAATGACAAGTGAAAAAAGAGGCAGGATATTGAGTTGTTTTAAAAAACAATTACCTAACCTCATTCGTTTTACTGATGGCTTTGCCAAGTATTTTACAATTTGATTGTTCCATAGATAATGAGATTGCGCAAAATGCTACGAAGAATTTCGCTGGATTTTTAGGGAAAGCATTTGAAGAACATAAAAGTAAGTACATATCACATGTTGTTTTTATAATAACAAGTTTATATTTTTCTTTATATTTATTTTTATAGTTACAAGAAATTATAAATTAAAAATTATTTATGAATTGTTTTGTGTGTTTTACAATAATATATAAAACTTATTTTTCGTGAAAAATTAAATTTTTTAAGGAATAGAATCTTCACAGTGAATTAAAAAAGTTCAGTATATTTGAAGTGTAATTTAAATTATTTCGTTCTTTTATATTGTAAATTCAATTTTTAATAAAATTTGTAGTTAAATTATTCTATTTAAATAGTATATTCTTATATTTGCAGAGTTATGGAATGAATATTTAAAACTAAGAAAATATTGTGAAGATGCAGATTTTAACATTCCATTTCAAGTACTTGAATCAGATATTTATAACAATAACAATGTGTAAGTTTTCATTTTATTACTGACATACAATTTTTCTAAATATTATCTTAGAAAACTATAAATACTATTTCTTCTACTTATATAACATTATATTACATATTGTTAAACTTTTTATATTTCAGTATTACACCTGATACAAGTCAGGTATCATCAGGAAATACAGATGCATTTACATCTTCACACAACAGTATTTCTTCTAGTTATAATTCTAATATTTCAAATTTAGATAATATTATTTTAACTAATAAATCTATTGAGAAGAAAACTCAAGAAAATATGTTAATAAAAAGTCCAATACTTATAAAGAAATGTTATAGATGTAAGAGAACTAATCAAGACATAATATTTGAGAAATTAAAGAAAAGCAAATCTCTAAGTAGCAAAAATTATTATGATGGAATAGAATGTACATCTGTTGCAAGAATGGCAAAAAGATTAAAAGTTAGCACATCACATGATATAAATAATATATTAGTACAAAATAATAAAAAGCAGTCACAACCTATGTCTCTTTTAGATGAAGAATTAACTAATAGTACAACTCAGAAAAAGTACAAAGGTTTTGATTTTTTAAAACCATATATATCAGATATACCTAAAGAAAATATAGAAGGAAAATCAGAAAATCATAATAAATCTATAGAAGAGGAAATAATTCAAAGTAGTCCACTAAGTAATCATATAACATCAAGTTTGAACATAAAAAGTATAAAACGAAAAAATAAAACTCCTAACAAAGTTTCTAAAGAAATAAATCAAACTAGTCTTGATTTGTTTATGTCACCTGCACATATGTCTACACAGAAAAATCAATCACTTTTAATTACAGGGTTAGAAGCACATAATTTTTTTGAAGAAAACACTAAAAATGATTGTAATACTGAACATTTATACCTAAAAGATATCAGAAACTTATCAACTCCAATAAATGAAGTTAAGAAGATAGAACTACAAGAAGATATTATCTCAGCAGGAGGAAAGAAGTACCCAGAATCATCCAGACAATTGCTTGATACTGATTTTTCAACATTTAATGATGAAACATTCTTTTCTTTTGGAGAGGAATTTAAAAAAATGTCTACTCATGATACAAATAAGTTAGAAGATATTAAACAAAATATATCTGAAAACAAAATGTTACCAAAATTTTTATCTGTAAAGAAAAGTCTTATAAATAGTTTTGATATGTAAGTGATATTCATATAAATGTAAATAATTTTTTAAAATATTTATATTAAATTTAATACATTTTTTTTAAGACCATCACAGAATACAGAAATACATATTGATAAACCATCAAAGAAAAAGTCTGGGAAAGCAAAGGTGACTAGTACTTCTTGTCGGGAATGTAAAAGGGTAATATATAATTTTACTTATTATATAAAAAATAAAAATAGTTATAGTTAATTGAAATAATATTAAATGTAATTTGTTCCTTTTTAATGCTACATGCAGAAAATAATTTGTAAGTAATTATTGTGTATTATATAATATTTTATACTCAATATATATTTTATGATGTTTATATATTTATATGTATATAAGTGTAGACATTTTTTTTAGTATTATGCCAATCTTGGACTTACTGAACAAGAAATACAAGCAAGGCAAAATAAATGTTCTCGACACAAAGTTAATTACAATAAAAGAGAAGGTACACCCGAAGGTAATTTAATATTTTTTGATAATCTTAACAAAATAAAACGATATATTTAAATTTTATAAATGCTAATTTATTTTAGGTTTCTGGGATCCTGTATTTGCTGATCCATATACATCTACTTTGCAAGATTAAAATAAAGCATGTTAACATGCACTTCATTTATAAGTAATTATTATTTTATAAATAATTGTATATTTTGTAAGATTTATTTAAAAATGTATGTAATGAGAGCACAAATGTAAAGATATTTTTAAATGTGAAATTTATAATTGAAGAAAAGAAAAATAAATTTCAAGAATAAGAACATAATTGTATATTATGATTTGAACATAGAGTGATTTATTATATTATAACACATATAGTATTACATTTTGAGTAACATAGTATAGATTTATATATTATTTTATTTTATATACTCATCCTTTTGCATAAAAATATAGAATCTTTTATATAAATTTGTGCTAAAGAAAAGATTAATAAAACTCATTTGTTAGTCAAATTTTGACGTTGAGTTCACAATATATCATTTGTATTAATTCAATACAAAATATAAGTTATCAATAATTAAATATCATAAATAAATTTCTTATGCATTTAGGTATTTAGAACGTGAAGTGTTCAGAAATGGAAGCAACATTAGAGAACAAAATTACTTGATATTATGTATTGTTTTGTTTTACATTTATTTTTTGTTAATTTAACTAATTTGTAGTACTCGATAAATATCGATGTAAATATGACTGTTTCATAAATTGTAATGTAGTAGAAAAGGGAAGTAGCATAGAAATATAAAATGTAAAGAAACATTAATTGTTAGTAATCGTACTGCACAATAAAGAGGAAGGAATCGCAAATACAACCTATTCGTCTTGTGGGAGGCTGGATCTACAGGACGAACAACGCTGCAGTTTTAAAGCAAGGGCGATACTTCCATTTGCCATTTTTCATGTTAACATCACAATTTGTGCAAACATATATATGTATATTTTTCTTTCTATATACCATCTAACATTTTTCATATGATATTTAAAACATTAAGTTTACTTTATGTAATTGTATTCTACTTCATATGTATTTGACACCAATAAAATATTGTTCTTATAATATTCTTATAATCCCGATACTTAATTATAACATGTATATTGTGCAGCTCGATTATTTTTTTCTGTATGCATAAAAAAAATACTGATAAATGATGCTTTTTGCAACTTCTTCACATGAAACTTTATATTTAATGTTTAATAAAATTTTATTTCATGGATGCAACAGTCAAAGCTGTTCATTAAAATCCATATTTTTTTGAATCTCTAACAATAGTATAAAAATTCTGATTTCAATTCTTAATATGGGGATCTCAATTCTCGCATTTTTAACATAAAAATTTCATTTAAGTGTTGTATATCAGAAAATACGTTACACGTAATCAAAAATTTACAAAGAACTTAATTTAATAAAACAGATAAAAAGTTCGATTAAACATATAATTAGTTATATGTGATTTAATTAATGTGAGCATCAACGTTATGTACACTTGAAAGAATTGACTGGGCAGATAGAATTATATTAATTATTAGACGATATATTTTGGTATCATATTTAAAGCTATTGTAAAGCACGTTAGTAGAATTGTTTATAAATGAAAGTAACATATTTTCAATTGAATAAAAATAATATTTTTATGATATAAAATTAACTATATAATGAAGTATATAAAGACTGAGCTTTATAATTGGAGGTAAACATTCATTTTCACAATAAAACAATAAATCATATTAAAATTTAATAAAATTGATCACTATAAAGTTTACCTCAAAAGACAAGTTTATAAGAGTATACAATACAAATAATTCCATTACTAGCTGATATTTAGAATTCCATCAGCTGTATAGCTCAGTCTTTCCATATGCTTGTACTTGATTATTCAAGTAGGCCGTAGTTAAATAAGATGCATAATAAGTATTATGGACTGTAATAATGAAATCTTTTTTAAAATAATTATTCAGCATTATAATTTATATGCATATATCTATATCGTATAATTAAGTAAATAAAATTTGTAGAACTTAGAGAGTTTAAAATTTGACATTTTCTGCAACAAAATACAATAAAAGTAAAATCTGTTAAAAGCGTGAATAGATGCAGACGAATTCAGACAAGAAAGTTATAGAAAATGAAAGATTTAATAGTAATTTTAGATTCTTAATGCGATTATGGTTGACTAGAAATATTTGGCCATTTTTTGTCAGTGAAATTTATACTTTGCCTCTGCTCGCCGCAATTGCTATTTCAAATTCGAATCGAAGTTTACTGATCTTGTTTTGTCGAAAAATTGCTTCCTGGTAGAGATTTTTCTGCAGGAGGTACAGGTAAAGCTTTAAGGATTGCGTGCACTTCTTCCGCCACTGCCATGTGGACGAATTTATATTGTTCTTTTGTTGTAACCATACCAGGTCTTTGATCTCTTATATCATTTAATGTAGCTGCAATATCAATTTCTTTGGATCCTTTTATCATACGGTTCAAGACCATATCGATTAAACAATAGGTACCAGTGCGGCCTGCACCATCACTATAAAAAATTATGCTTTTTAATTTTTTTGTTATAATTATAATAGAATTATTATAATAGAATTATTATAATTATCACATATTATTAATTTATACTAAAATTTATGGTTTAAGCAATATTCTAAACATAACATTTTAAACGTAAAAGATAGAAACTCTACTTTACCTGCAATGCACGACTATAGGGCATGATCTGCCTTTGTAGGATTTGTTAATTTTCCTAAAATTACATATTAATAGGTATTAGTATAACGATGTGTTTTATTTACAGACACGAGCATTATTTGAATTTATAAGACATTTACCGGCGGAATTCAAGAAGAGCTTTAATGGAATGTGGCACACTGTTTTCTGGCCAAGACAAGAAGTGGAATTGCGTTACAGTTCTTGTTTCACCGGTACGTAGATTTTTCAAGTAGAAAGAACGCACTAGGTAGTCGTCACACCAGAAATGCTCGGACACAAGATGTACCTCGTAAATATGATACAATTCTGATCCTTCCTCAGGCCAATAACGATGGCACATAGCAACACCTTCTTCGGTGAGTCTAGTTAACATCACGATTACAACACTGCCTTGTTCCCAAACTAGTTGCCAAAAATCAGCTGTTGTTTCTGGAAGTGGCCCTTGCGTGGCGATGTAAGCTGGATTTCGTGGATCATGATCAGCCTAGAAAAAAATAGATTGTGTTTGAATGTAGTCTTTGTATTATTGGTTTTCTACTGAGAAGCAAGTCACACGGCTTTCTTTAGTACATAGCAAGCACATTTCTATTTTATAATCTATTATGCAATTTTTGTGATTTTATATTATGCAGGAATTCTTTTGATTTTGCAATGCAATTACTACTGTTCTTTTTTTTATTTATTTTCATGTAATAAAAGCCACTTTGTGAACTAATACCTAAACTATGTAGTGCTCATTTTGCGTTTATCTGAAATGATGATTTACTCGAAAATGTAGATAAAGTTCACAGGTTCATTTAGCATACAAACGTGATAGAAAATGTTTATATAAACATTTTGTTATGTATTATGTATATATTTTGTTATACTTTACAATTTTTTGAGTGCATATTTTCTTTCATTTGTTTTCTTATCTAAAATAACTGATAGTAAGAAAGTTTAGTAATAACGTTATTAATATTAAACATGTTTGACAATTATTTTTACAAAGAAAATTCAAACAACTGTAAATTTTATAAAATTTTATAAAATTTTAACAAATGTATATAAAAATTTATTGTGTTTTGTATACTAAATTTATCTCTAAGTATCTCTACATTTATGATAGATAGCTTTGACATGCCTCGATTTGCAATAAACGTTACAATATTATTGAAATATCTACATAGAAGCGTCTTTAAAAAAAGCATTGCTTTGTTATCATATTGCAAATATAACAGTAGATTGTCCATGCTCGTCGTGTGACTTACCGATTTCTATTTTCAGTTCCATTTTCAACGATTTAAAAATGAAAACCACGCATATATTATTTTACTCCATATTTATATCTTCTGGGGAATTTTTAAATGATAAACTCAAGAATACTTACAATTGTAGAGGCGTTAATATAGTCGGAGTTATTGATATTAGCGAGATCGTTTAGAATCACCCTAGAATGATCGTAGGGAATCGGTGCCCCGGAACGATTGCATTTAACATTTCCTTCTCTTTGCGCTTCTATCGAAGAGAGAGTTGCTTCTTTTGGGCATAACGACCATTCTAGATCCAATCGGTCCTTATTCTTTAAGTGATCCTCCATATAACTCTGAAAAAATATACAACGGAATTTTAGACTCGTATTCATTAAGATATAAAATATATACACTATAAATATGTTTCATAACAATATAAACTTATGTGAATAATTAAGTTATTATTTCAGTCATTGAGTCAATATCTGCGTGTATTAATTTAGACGAAAGCATAAGACATAAATTTTCAAACATTAAAATATATTTTTATGTCATTTCCGTATTATCACCGTACCATAAAATATTAACAAAAATATTATATCAACATACTAGAACCATTTGTCCGGTTGCTATGTCCATGTTCGAAAGTGCTGGTTCTTCTCCCCAAGAAGATGTGCTAGATCGATTCGATGATAAATTAGTGGATTCATTTTCTCGACTTAAGCTTGTAATTCGTGGGGAGTCTGGTTTATCCGATTGTTTGGCGTGCATTCTTGCTCTGCACAAATCTTGATAATCTTTAGATACCTCTGGGTCGGGTGTGGTTAATCCTGCCAACTTGGCTCGAGACTTAATATGTCGACGAACGATTATCAAAGTAATTATGGCAATTGCAATGACAACTCCGACTCCTACAGCCACTATTACTCCAAACATGTTGGAACTCATCTCGGGATTTCTGACAACTTCCAGCATTGCGGGCAATTTGGTCTTTAAATAAAAAAATATATTAATTTTTGTTTAATACAGTTATTTCATTGTAGTATTAAAATGCACTGTTTAAAATAAGCAGAGGATCACGTTTCTGATGAATTCTGCCTACAATGTTGATGTATTTTTTACGATGATGATGTATTTATAGGCGAGTGATCCTGTAATTAGTTTGAACAGTATAATTGCAAATGTTATGTTCTAGACATATTTTGAGATGAACCTTATCACCTATGCCTGCGCGCTTCACTTCGACACCCAGAATCTCTTTCAGTTTACCACTTATGGGACCTTAAACCATAACATAGTTGATTAATTTCATGGCTTATTATTTACACTTATTAAATTATTGATTCGTAGATTAATATTTTTATTAATTACCGATGTGTGTGGCGACGTCGGTAGCATTATAATTTTTATTGTTTTTAATAACTTTGAAGGTCACTTCTGCCACACCAACTCGAATATCTTTTAAAGAGCCAGGTGTTAGTCCCAATAACTTGCTCACCTGAAAATTAAATAATTATATTTCGTATTTTCAAAAAGAAATTCGGATTTTTATGAACACCAACAATTACCTCTTTGACAACATGTTCTCCTTCTGACCATGTGTGAAATTCTTGCTGAAATTCGATGTAAACGTAATCTAGGTCAACATTGTTATACGAATTTGAATTGACTGTATGTTGACCAGCTTCTGCTTCTTTCTTTACGTATGGAGTAAGTAATACGTCATTCTAAAAATGAATTAATTTGATGATTGTGATGATTATATTGTTCATATCACACATTTTACTTTTGCTTATTTTATTTTGCTTAGTACTTACATCTTGTTCAGTTTCGATAGAATCAGAATGATTTTCTTCTGAAACCGTAAAAACTTTTGATGTTAACACTTAGCCAACCGAATGGGACGATCTCCTCGCTTTAAAGTAAGTCGCTGTATAACCACCCGGGGAATCTTTTTCTTTTCTTTTTAGTTTTGAACTGGAGTTGTTTGCAATACATTGGATTAAAGTTTTATAAGGTATAAAAAAATACCACTAAAAATGGTATTGTAAAATGTAAAAATTAAAGCGAGAGTGTGCATGCATGCAGCATCTGTCTGTACTTAAATATGCCTAATAAATCATGGACATATACTACTTAAAATATTTAACAATTCCCAGACCTATACTACTTAAAATACCTGAACAATGCCTAATCTATATTAATCAAATTATGCTTGACCAATTGGTGGCATATGCTATTTTAATTATGTTAATAACTTTTTCATTAACTTTAACTAAACTTATTTCACAGATTTTATTGAAAGTTATGTTTTATAAAAGCAGTCAAAGTATTCAATAAATTGGAAATAATTCCAGTTTAAGACTGATTAATAACAAAAAAAAATAAATATGATGAAAGTCACGTGTTGCTAAGAAAAAGTAGGAAACTCTTCTATCGGTCATACAACAACTTACTTTAAAGGGAGATCTTCTCATTCGGTCGGCTAAGTGTTAATTTATATACAGGGTATCTTTTTTATCTGGTTTTGGTGGAATATCTTGAAAACGACGAGGGATAGAAAAACAATGTTAAGACAAATATTGTTTGGTATAAAGAAAATGGTAATTAAAAATTACATACATATATATATATATAAATATAAGCTAATGTAACATAAAAAAAAGTAACAATATTTACCTGCTGGGGATGGAGTTTTGAATGCATAGTTATTTGTTGAAAATGGAGGCCCTGGTTTCTTAACATCTAGACGTTCCCGTCGTTTAAATCCAGCTAATCCACGTCTCCAAAGGAATTCTGTTAAATCGTCATGAACTAAAGTATCGTAGGCATTTTCTAAAAATGTACAAAGTTTAATTATCTATCACCTTTTTTTATATAACTATTTTAAATAATGTATATCTTCATATAATGGTAATAAAAAAAATATACCACTAGTTTCAATATTAGGTTTATCATTAGCAGGCTGGACAAGTCCTCCTTCGGTATAAATCCCTTTTCCTATAGATGAGCTATCCTTTGGAGGCACTTGTTCTTCATCGTTCACATCGTCATAATTATCATTGTTATAATTATTCTGCGAGTTACGCTTCATATTTTCCAAAAAAGGTTCAATTTTACTAGGAAGCTCAATAAATTTTCTAGGTTTGTACTTTTTTGAAAATGCCTTCTCGTAGTCAACATCAAAATCTTCGTCTTCATCTTCTTTCTTGGCAGAATAATCATTAGATTTATCGTTCACCAGAAACTCCAATTCATCAGTACTTAGGCTTATGGGATACAAATTTATATTTTCAGAAAGTTTCTTTGATAGTTTCTCCTCTTCCAAAGCATTTTTAAACGATTCCATTGCATTGTTGTCATAATCCCGAAAATTATACGGTTGTCGTCTGATTCGGTATAGCTTTTCGTTGAGTCCATCGAAAGTCACAGGTACTTTCCGAGAATTACTTTCATCATAATTTTCTTCATAACTACCTTCATTCGTTGAAAAATCATATTCGTTGTCAGAATTTGGATTGTATCTGTAAAACTGGGAATCTGTTTTTCTCAATTGTTCTTTGTATGGCGACTGAGAAATTTCGTAATTGTTATCAGGATCCTGAAAATATCGATTTTCTGTGCCGGGAGGATAATAGATTTCACTAGCAAATTTGTTATTGCTAGGCGTAAATTTTACTGTCGCTAACGCGGGTACCTTAAAAAGTAAAGTTTCATTTTTAAATTCTAAAAGTAATTTATGGAATCTTACTACGATTATCGTCATTATTATAATACATTCTATGCTGCATGATTTTCTCGATTACTAAATCTTTATTTTATAATTGTAATTAAATATATTAATATGAATCCTCGATTTTGATTTAAAGTTTGTAAAATCAATTTTTCTAGCACGATTTGTTTTAATGTAAAATTTTTTAATTTAATCTTTAATCTTGTTTTAAGATTTTATCGAAACTATTTTCTACTATTAAATATTATGTCGTAATATTTTTTATTCTAATGTTCTTCCGAAGTTTTTCATGTTCTCGCAGCACAGAATGTATTACAATTGGACTATGTCGTGATTAGGCTTACTTCTTCTTGGTTGATTTTGTTTTCGACATATGAACGGTGTCTTAAATGATCACAGAGTCGAAGATCGTAGTTTTCTCTAAAAAAAAAAAAAAAA